GCAAATCTAAAACTTCCTGAATTCAAGCCTTTTCTGAGAAAACTGCCAACATTTCCCCATCCATGGTTCACTTTCTAAAAAGGCCATTTATTTATCTCTAGAATGATGTAAAAACGAGATTTCTTGCTCATTTTGCTTCCGAGAAACATGCAAAACGGGACGGAAAACATGAAATTTTGCAATAATCTTGCGCCACCCTTGCACAAAACACAAAACTAAAACATCAATTTAGGCAATACGAAAAAAATAGTTCAGATCCGCACTTGAGAGTTTAGATGCACTTTTTTTCGCCCAAATCTTGGTTTGTCTGCCTTCTGAATCAGGCACGCGCCCTTTCTACAATCGATTTTTAACCCAAAACTGTTATTTAAAGCACAACTGCCATTCACACGTACTTTAAACTTGGGGTGTTTTAATAATAAAACCGTCCAAGACGATAAAATCGACGTTTTCAGATAACTCTCAAGAAAATGTACAAAAAAGAGACTTCAATATTGCAGATATGTATGCCAAGATGGAGATCCACAATACCAATTCGATGATGAGAAACATTGATCGGGAGCCAATCAAGCTAAAATTTGGCATCGATCGGCTACTCTCGAATGACAATGAGGATCAAGAGGATGAGGAGAAAAACGTTTCGAGTAAAAGCCTTCCCATCTCCAAGCCACTGGCTCAGATGGCAGTTCCTTGCTCAGGCTGCGTATCATCCTTATTTAGATGCTGCAGGTAAGTCTGCCCCATGGGTTAAAATGAGTCGAATGTGCCAAGAGTGATATTTGCAGTTTAAAGTATCAAAAGATTAATAGGAACTTTGTGACGATGTGTGATGTTGGGCCTGAACGTTCGATTGCTTGAAATTGCCAAACCTAAATTTTAGTAGCAAACGAATCTGTTTACTGTTAAAAAAGAGTCCAAGAACAAATAACTAGAAGTTAATTTTTGGCTCTCATTTCGCCGTTTATTTCAAGTTTGAAAATTTCCTGCGAAGTAACCAAAAGCTCAACCGCAACCAAACTTACACTATAACTAGGCTGACTGGTTGCCTAACAGAGAATGCTTTTCCCTATTAATGTGCCAATTTCTAATTTTCACACTTTTTGTTGAATATTTGAACAAAAAATGTGGCGACTTTTTTTGGGTTCAAATTAAATTTCGACAAAGTGGTAAAACGTTGCCCCTAAACAATGTGATGACATTCTTTTTGTTAGGTGTTAAAATTCCATCTCGAGCCTCGTAAAGCACAATACAAAGTGCCGCACAGTCAGACGCGATGAATCAACGAAAAACTCAAAAACGAAAAATACTTTTGATGTTCAGAGTTGTGCGCTCAATAAGGACGAGTGTGCTCTAAATGCGATACCTAGTTAAGAACATTTTGCGCACGATTTGAAAAAACTGTAGCAAAAACCATTTTTCATCGCGATTTTTTAAAATAAATTTATCCGAAATGAAACAGACTCTTCAAGTTTAGAGTTGTGGGTGCTGTAATGAAGAGTGCGCTCTAAATGTCGTCAAAATTTCTTCAAACCTTCAAAAATTCACTCAAATCACACATGAGATGCTGAATTTTGCGCACTTTGTAAATATAGATCTGAAAGAGAACGCTTTAACGCCACTGCAGACTATTCAATAAAAAATAACAACTTGGAAAATTGACATTCAGATGAGCCTGATCAGAAGCTTCAGATGAGCCTGATGTAAAAATATACAGGGTGATTCAAAATTGGCATTCCTTTTAAGGGGTATTAGGGGCTCACTGGGAAGGTATGAGAAAAATATTTATATTTTTTCGATTTCGAAAC